CTGAGTGCAGTGGTTTACGCGGCATAAAGTCCCTGTCCGGTGAACGTCCCACACACACAGCCCCCGGCAGAAAAGTCTGGGAAAAACACATACTTAGAGGTGTGCAGACACACCCACCTGGTAAGTGGCCGGATCCATTTCCAACTGGATGGCCAGGCCGAGATTGTTGGTGATGGTGTAGAGCACCGCCGGCACGGCAAATGGCGCAATAATGAGGAGGAGGCGGCAGGCTGATGAACCAACAACGCTGGTAGCATTGCCATTGTACCCCTGTGGATGCGGGGAGAATTCCGCCCGTAGACGTTCACGCAGGGCTGTGGGGAAGGAACCCGTGGACGAGGCAAAGGCGACCGTGTGTTCACCGGCAGCATGTCCGTTTCCTTTGGCTACTTCCATCAGGAACATGACGGCGGACAGGAAGAGCTGAAAGGAGAGTGACCAAAAGCAATGGAGGTCATACACACACCGATCTCGGCTGCTGAAAACAGTTTACAAGCAGGCAGGCTTCAGGGGGAATGCTGTTCGGCATGTGGTTCACTAGGCTCTCCGTCAAGCTCGATTACAATGTTACGTACTGTCTATAACACTGACTTTAGGAGGAGGGAGGGATATCCGGGATGCCTTCATTTACCCGATGAGTCATCGCACAGAAAGAGGCCTGCTAGAGCTGCCGCCGAGGCTATAGATTTTCCGTAAGATCTGATTGGCCTATGGCTCCGGCACTCTCTCATCAAGCGAATCAATAAATAGACGCAGCCTTTTTGTGAGAATGACGTACAGCTCGACTCTTGGTCGACTGTGCCTTCTCTTGTACTGGCTTTGGGAACGACAGTTAGGCGAGCCCACGGTTCGTGTTACATACAAGTACCAGGTGCGGGTCATAACAGAGGGACAGTCTCGACATTAGGACAGGAGCATTTGAAACAGACCTGAAGTGCAAGATTTATTGGAACCAAGAAATGGCACGACTGCCCAGGTGGCTTCTAAAGCAGGAAAAAAATACCCCATATGTTTGCTTTACGAAACACCTGTTTGATACTGGTCACTCCATTGACCTCAAAACATTGTTTCGGGTACTTGTTCGGATACAAATAACTCCTACATTGTGCCACTGGGAGGTGGCCCATATACAGCTGGTGAAGCCAGACCTATGTAAGCAGTTGGAGTATGTAGTCAACCTAATTTTGCCGTAGTAACCTCTAGCTTCTAGATTTACATGTGTTCCTTTTCCTTGTTCCTTTAAAGACATGTTCCCTTTAACTTACGCCTCTTATATGGCGATTTAAACTACAAGTTCAATTAAGTAGCCTCTACAGCGTTAAATTTTTCTATTTTGCATTGCTCTTTTTCCTTACGAATTCAAATGTATGATATTTTCTCATTTATATTGCTAATTTGCAGTAACATTACCAGTACTACTGTCGTTCAGCTACACTCCTAGTTAGTAGTAGTAGTACTAGTAGAAATAGCAAAAGCAGTAGTAACAGTGCCAGCTGTGGTTTCCTTGAGTGTGTTCTGACACCTACTGAAGGTGAGTAAGGGTACATCGTGTGGTAGTACCGGCGCAAAAGACTACTGTCACTTAAGACTAAGTTAGACGGTGTTCTGACTTGCATTGGATAAAGCGCCCTACGCCCGATCCCGTTCGGTCATCTTGACTCTGCCTTGTCACCGGTTCAAACGAGTTGAGGGTTTAGAGTGAGGTAGACGGCTGCGTGTCTATTTCACTTAAATCTCGTCTCTGACTGCAGTCACCGTCCCTGCTCCTGAGCACATGGTGGACGTCATCGAAATCGATGGTCGAACTATCATTATGCAGCTGATGAACAGTCGTGCAATTTATCAGTTTTAATAAGTAGCATTTGGACCATGTGACCGGCTGCGGGCCGTTTTAGATGACTGAATATATCTTATCGATGCTATTACAGTAATAAAGTCAGCATACTTCTCTCGCAGAAGCTTTAGCAGGCGAAGGTAGCTAGGAAAAAAACTGCAATTTTTACTCGACCTCCTGCGCTGCGAAAATGCGGAGGTAGTTCTCGAATTCGCTGTCGCAGAGAGTGGGGCGTGCGGAGGGGGTCTTGTGCGGAACATTGCAGAGATCAGAAAGGTTCGGAGCGATTACAGGCCAATGAGGTGGGAAAAACTGGAGGTGCAAGGCAGAGAGCTTGGAGTGATGACGGATACTTATTCGGAAATGGCCATCCCGCTCTCCCTTGGAGCCATGCAGACAGTCATAAGGAAATTACCGAAAAATTAAAGGGCGACTGGAACGGCCATTTCATGTTCATGAGCCATCATCGGCCGGCTACATCTAATCCTATGTTTTGCGGCACCAGAGCCTCAAGGGCAGTTAGTGAGCCTACCTAAGCTTTCGATAAATTATCACCGGGCTAATACAGTTAAATGGCAGCGCAGTACAAGTTAAACATGCCATCTTATCATACAAGTGATTCATGGGAATAG